GGGCTGCTCGCCCTGAGGCCCTGCCGCGGGCTCCCCGGCAGGAGCGTCCCGCTGAGGCCGCAGGACGTTGACGGAGGGGACAGGCGAGAGCACGGGGCTGGGGTCTGCGTCTCCCGGCCCCGGACGCCCCTGTCCGGCGGCTGCTGCAGGCCCCGCTGCGGTGCCCTGCCCGGGGTGCAGGTCCAGCCGTCACGTACCCGCCTGCCGCGTTTCAACACTAGGCTGGGACCGCACGTTGGGGTACGACAGTGGTGGAATAGGCCCTGGGAAGAAGTGACGGAAATAGCTGATAGGTGTGACAGTGACAGAGGAACTGGGGCTTGAATTTCATTCCCTATAAGGAGCTAGCCGACTGGGAGGGTCATCTGGACTGGCTTTCCACCTACTGAGCAGGCCATTAATTAATTCGTGGCATTGAGCATAACTTGCCTTTGAAGAGATGCATGTCACTGGTAAAGCAGCACTTGCAGAAATAAACCCATGCTATCTACCGGAGAGGCCCACATCCCCACAGGGATATTTTTTGTCTAGAGAATAGAGGATAATTTGTGTGGAAAACAGAAATATCTTTGGAATTATCAGAAATAACAAACAGTCCTTCAAAACGGTGTCGAAACAGTCCTTCCAGGGCATGAGAATTTGCTAATTAAAATAATGGCATGATGGTAGGTTACCACTAGTTAGGCGGAGTAGGGAAACTGAAGGTTTTCTGTAAGAATTTTATGTGAGACTTTTAAAGATACTTAGGTTTCTCAGGCTTGGATCCTAAATCCTATTAGTCATCTACCTGCCTCTTCAGCTGCCTAAGCACATTTAAAAATCTGGCTCTTCTTTCCCCTTTATTGCTAATATAGCTTAACTCGTTCTTGCTGAAAGCAGAGGCACATGCTGTGAGGGGAAATAAGTTTCAGGAGGATACGTATTCTACACTGCAAACCACTTTCTACAGTTTATTCAGAAACACAGCAGAAACTAATACTGTACTTGCTGCTCTGCCTCTTGATATCAACAGAATCAGTTCTTGGTACAGCTGAGCCATTAGACCTTCTCTAGAGCCATTCCTCCTTTTACGCTGAATGCTGGACAGAAAACACAGAGCAAATAGCCAAGGAAAAAAAATTTTGTACCGCTTTTCCCTCCCTGTTATTTTAATGTATTGTGTTAAAAATAGAAATGGACCAACAGGTAGAAAAATCAAAACACAGTCAATGAACAAATCACTCCACTGCTTTGCATGGATCTAAATTTCCTTGTATTGTGTAAGACAGAGAAGAATCAAACCCTTCATTCACAGCAAATAAGCTGGTCCTACACCGATGAATAAAAGTTCTGTTTCTCTAAGTAAGAGCTTTCCATCAAGGCATACTTGCTAGTTCAGGTCGTCACTCAGCATGCTTCAAACAATCAGTGCCTGTATTTATTTATTTATTTTACTAGATTATATACTAAATATCGTATGCCAAGGAAAACAAGTACTTTGTGAACTGTAAATTTAAACAAAGCAATACATTCTCCTCTTCCTGTATCTACCCCTTTTTATCTCTCCTTTACTTACAAGCATGCGGTTCCCATCAGAATGAACACGTATAGCTCAAGGCACAAAGTGGCCTACTGCTATAGTTAGCTGTATTTGTCTTAATGGAGTAAATTCAGTTCAATACCACACTCCTGTAAAATCGGAATAACTATATTGAAAACAATTTAGCACATCATTATCTACATTATTGGTATTAATTTTAGTAGAGTGTTAGCTGTCACTTTAGAGATATCTACGAAGAAAAAACTCCTGCCTGAATAGTTTACAAAATAGCACACACAATAACAGGTCTGTTTTTTCCAGCTTCTTACATTGCCAATTGCATTAACCTGCCATTGATCCTCCTACTTACTAGGCAAGACCTTGTCTAGAGGGAAAAGTTGCAGGTGCAGCTCCCTAAACTGGGTGACTTAAATTGACTTTATCATCTCTTCAATCAGTTGAGCTGAATTTTGTAAATTACAAAAACAACTTAAGGAGATGGCAAACTGTTTTAAGTGCATCTGGCTTATAATAATTCTTTTGAAACCAGTTCAACATTTTCTTGTAGAGACATGGCCTAGATTATTA